TTTGCCCAGATCCATCAGAGGATTCAATATCTATGGTGGCTATACCCTTACAAAATGTATTTCTTAAATAAGATAATGAGACTTACAAGTCAGAATTACAACTTGATCCTTGGGCTACAGGATGGATGTTGTGTTAGCAGGCACAAAAACAACATTAATCTCCTGGTACATCTCTGTTAGAACTCTTGGATAACCAGATGCATTGTCAATGAGAAGTAGTAATATTTTGAAAGGATCCTTTTTTCTGAGCAGTAGGTGTCAACAGTGGACTTAAAATATCCAGTAAACCCTGTTATGAACAGATGTGCTGTCATCTAGGCTTTATTGTTCCATTTACAGAGCACAGGCAGAGTAGATGTAGCATAGTGCTTCAGGACCCTAGGATTTTGGGAATGGTAAATGAGCACTGGCTTCAACTTAAAGTCACCAGCTACATTGGTCCCTAACTGGGGAGTCAGCCTGTCTTTTGGAGCTCTGAAGCCAGGCGTTGACTTCTCCCTAGCTATGAAAGTCCTAGGTGCCATCTTCTGACATATGGCTGTTTTGTCTATGTTGAAAATGTGTTGGTTAGTGCGGCCAACTTCGTTAATGATCTTAGCTACATCTTCTGGGTCACTTGCTGCAGCTTCTCCACCAGAGCCTGCTGCTTCATCTTGTACTTCTATGTTACGGAGACGGCTTCCTTCCTTAGACCTCATGAACCAACCTCTGCTGGCTTCTAGTTCTTCCTCTGCAGCTTCCTCACCTCTCAGCCTTCATAGAATTGAAGAGAGTCAGGGCCTTGCTCTGGATTAGGCTTTGGCTTAAGAGAATGTTGTGGCTGGTTTGATCTTCAGACCACTCAGACTTTCTCCATATTGTCAGTAAGGCTTGTCCATGTGTTTACTGGAGATTACTTTTAATTTCCTTCAAGAACTTCTCCTTTACATTCACAACTTGGCTACCTGTGTGGTGCCAGAGGCCTAGCTTTCAGCCCGTGTCAGCTTTTGATTTAAAGTGAGAGACATGTGACTCTTCCTTTCACGTGAACACTTAGAGGGCACTCACTGTAGGGCTGTTAATAGGCCTGATTTCAATATCATTGTGTGAGGGAAGCCTGAGGAGAGGGAGAAAAATGGAAGAGTAGCCAATCTGTGGACTAATCCGAGAATACACGTAACATTTATTGATGAAGTTCACTGTCTTATATGGATGCAGTTCATGGCACTCCAAAACAATTACGATGGTAACACCAAAGATCACTGATCATAGATCACCCTAAAAATAATGAAAATTGTGAAATATGAGAATTATTAAAATATGACACAGAAACACAAAGTGAGCAAATGTTGGAAAATTGGTCCCAATATCCTTTCTCTACACAGAATTGCCACAGACCTTCAGTTTGTAAAAAACAGTTATCTGCAAAGTACAATAAGGTGAAGCATGGTAAAATGAAGTGTACCTGTAATAACTTGTAGAGATTCTTGGATTCTATTACCTTCCTCTGAAGAGTGTTGAGTTTTATTTTAATAGGCAATCAAATTACAGAGAGCTCATCTTTTGAGGGGAATGGGGGTAGGGATTACTTATCATGTTTAAGTCTTGTTAATGTAAGTCTCTTTGGGTTTTTCCCTTAGTCCTCTGGTGTGACCCTCAGTCCTGAGATGATACCCTTTCTTCAAAAGCCAGCCTTTCTGGGTTTCCCATGGAAGGCCTGAAGTGTTTCCCAAGTCCTTCTAACTTATGTAACTAGGCAGTTACCTCAGGGGAAAAATTGGTGAAATGTGGGACCTCACTTTGTTCTTTTTCCTTCTTTCAAAGTTTGTAACCCCTCCATTTTCTGCTTACTTTTGATCACTCTTGAGTACTTAAAAATTACTTCTTGTATTTTTCCATCATTTATAGTAGTTATCTGTGGGAGGGTTCATCTGATAAAAACTACTCAGCCATTATTGGAAATAAAACATAGGAATATACTTTTGGGCAGAGCTGATGGTTCAGCCATTCCCAGGGACAATGCCTGTGCTTTGGCAAGAATCTGTACAGCTGTGGGAGGATCTGCTGTGACTCAGTGGCCTGGCTTGGTGGGGACAGAGTGGTCACTTAAGGAATCAGACATTTCTCTGATGTGGAAGAACCATGAGAGTGAGACTAAAGGTGGGAGAGAGCTGAAGAGGTAGGAAGTTGGCCTCTTCCAGCCTTCATTTCCTCAGTAATGTGGTCAAGCTCTTGTGAGGGGTGATGGAGACAAAGTATATGGTGTTTATGATTACGGAGGCCACTGAGTTGAGCTTTGCCAAGGCTTGACCTAAATGGCACAATTCTTGTATCATCTTGACTTTTCAGTCCTTTGTGGAAGCAAGAGTGCCTTGTGCCCACATAAGGTATATTGGGGTTGTCATTGTTACACTGTGATCAAGAATATCACCATCATATCCATGCTGCCTACCTCTGAGGGATATGTTTCTCCATGGTTCTTTGCTCTATTGGTTAGGCTATTGTTAGTCTGTGGTGAACAAAACCCAAGATAACAGCAGCTTAAGCAAAGTAGAAGTTCTTTTCTCTCTCACACAGTAGTCTGGGTGTAAGTAGTCTAAGGCTGTTGAGGTGGCTACACTGGGTCAGGGGCTCAGGCTTCCTCCATCTTGCTGGTCTGTCATCACTGCTGTATCACCTTCATGACTCAACACCAGTATGACTCAACACCACCCGTCTTCATTCCAAGCCACAAGAAGGGGAAGGAGGGCAGCTGTGGGCATGCTAGCCCACCCCTTCCCCCATGAAAGACCCATCCCAGAAGATGCATCCATCACCTTCACATCCCATTGACCAGAATTTAGCTACCCACGTGCAGAGGAAGCTGGGAAATACCGTCTTTATTTGGGGGTAGTCATGAATCTGTCTACACATCTAGAGTTCTATTGTAGACATGGAGACTGTATGGGAGCCTGGGTGTCTCAGTCGGTTAAGTGTCTGACTTTGGCTCAGGTCATGATCTCACAGTTTGTGAGTTTGAGTCCCACACTGGGCTCTCTATTGTCAGCTTTGGATTCTGTGTCTCCCTCTCTCTCTGCTCCTCCCCTGCTTGCACTCTGTCTCTCCTTCTCTCAAAAACAAACAGGAAGAAAAATGGGGTGGGAGGGGAGACTGCATATGGGCGCATAGCCACCAATCATGAGGTCATGTACCTGGTTCTCAGCTCAAGGGTCACTTTACAGAAGGAACTTGGTGCTCTCTGGAGAGCCCATGGAGCACTGATGAAATGAGAGATTTCCACGTGGTCTGTACATTTCCCCTTAAGGGTATCAGAAGACAAGGACTGTCACTCTAATGTAGATCAGCTAGTGGTGGTTGTGTGACTTAAGGGACATGGTGGGTCCACAAGCTACTTGTCAATTCCAGACTTGTTGCCCAGTAACTACACCATGTAGGAAAGACGTGCCAAGTTGGGATAGAAAGAACCCAAGTGATACCAGGCTTTTAGTGCTGATCCTTCCATCTTTGCCCCTGACTAGTAGAGTCACACCAGGCGTGCCCTTGTCTTTTACCTCCAAAGTAGATTTGGGTTTGGATTTGGATTGGGGTATGTCTCCGGTGTGGCTAGTACCCATGTTCTAGAATTGTAAGATTCCTCAACACTCCACAACTTGGCACTAAAGCAGGCTTCTACAGGGATGCTGCCATGTTAAGTCCTTTGTGGAATGAGTCCAAAGTCTGAATGTGCAGGTACCTGGCACGCTGCAGACTGCCTGGGAGCTGTGGACATGGGTTCTCTATCTCCTTGGGCTTCCCTGAGTTGTCTTGTAATCAGAAGTCACTACCCAGCTTCCCATACAATTAAGCTTAATTTTTAATCTTTATTTTTGTTTCAAAATATTATTTCTGCTTCTAGAACTATTACATGTCCATTGTAGAAAATTTCAAAGATAAAGGAAAGTATAGCAAAGGAAGCAAAAAAAAAAATTAACCATAATGCCATTCCTCATACTGGCATTATTAAGGCTTTACTGTATTCCCTTAATTTCAGTATCTAAGAAATATGAAAAATATTTTTACTTCAGTTCATCAAATTGGGATCATACTATATACATGATGTGTAACTGACTGCCAAGGATTCTAATCACACAGATGTGCCACACTGTACTTAATCAATGCGCTGGACATTCAGGCTGGGTCTGAGTCTTCATTATTGTTAACTACATAGCAGTGACATCTCCATTTCACACTGACAACTTCTTAGCTCCTATCATAGATGCTGTGGGGCAGGTGAGCTCAGAGGTTGGATGGCCTGCCCAAGACCACACAGCGAGTGAGTGATGGGTCCCGGCCATGTGGCCACAAGGCTGACTGCACTCTGCCAGGAGCCTCTCCCCAGTGCCAGGAAAGAGAGGGACAGATGTGGCATAGGTGTGCTGGGGATGGTGGGCTCCTAATGTGCTGGTTTAGGGAGAAAAGTGTGTGGTTTCCAGGGAGACACTGTCCTGGGTGGTTTGTGACACCCCTGAGGAAAGCCAGCTGCTCTCTGCTGACCACACAGCAGCAAGCCGCCCCATGCCCCACTCTGCCCCTGCCTGCTGGAGGCAGTGATGAACCCAGGCCTGGGTGCCTGTGTTTACGGAGCCTCGAGGGGAGGCTGTGAGGGTGGAAAGCAGGTGAGGCCAAGCAGGCTTGGGCAGGGAGACCACTCAGCTCTTGCTCCTCGAGACCCCCACCTGAGGAGGGCAGGAGATGCACCTGACAGTGGCCTTAATCCTGGGGAAGCCTCCTCATCTGCCTCCCTTGTCCCTTTTGCAAACACTTTTGTCACTCCCTGAAGACCTGTCCTCATCCTTACTTAGCTCCAGCCCACTTCCTCTGAGAGGGATGACTGGGTTCACTCTCGAGTGTAGGGGAGAGGCAGGGACAGCAGAGCAAAACACACCTTCATTTTGGCATGGGTGTCCCCTCTTTTGCTGGCTGTCACTGCCTGGATCACCGAGCTTTTAACCTTACCTGACACCTGTGCTTTTCTCTACTAGGCAACCATTGGGATTGACTTCTTGTCAAAAACGATGTACTTGGAGGATCGTACGGTGAGTGCCTGACTTCAGAACAGGAAGGATGGGGAGGGCCTGCTTTGGCGCCCATCGCCAGGCACCACTGAGAGAGCCTGTGTCTACCCCAGAGCCGGCAGTGCTGGCATCACAGAGCCAGGGCCTCCCCCAGCCCCCACCCCACCATGAGGACAGCATTGGCCCCCCCATTCCTGCCCACGGTCCCACCCTTCTTGTGACAGGTGCGGCTGCAACTCTGGGACACAGCCGGCCAGGAGAGGTTCCGCAGCCTGATCCCCAGCTACATCCGGGACTCCACAGTGGCCGTGGTGGTGTATGACATCACAAGTGAGTGTGGGCCTTGGGGACAGAAGGAGGGTGGCTCACAGGCTCCAGGGCCTGCGTGCATGTGTGTGTGTGTGCGCGAGCACACATGCATGTGTATGCACACGTGTGTGCTTGTCTGCTGACTGCCAGAAGGCAGGTCCTTAGTGGTGGGAGGTGAGTTGCCTTCCAACACCAGTATGTCCCCACCTGCGCCTCTCCTGTGTACAGGACAGAGCTGGCCCTGCTCAGAGCAGGGGCCCATGTGTAGAGCTGAGCAGAGATGCGCAGGACGCTGGCTCTGCTCCCACCTGCCCTCCATGGCACTGACGGCCAGAAAGACCCTTATGGGGTGACTTGTGGGGGTGTGTGTGACCAGATGGGAGCAGACTCTGGTCTCTGGGCCAGCCCTGACCCAGCAGCCATTGTCTATCAGCTGGCCTCTCTGGGGCTGCTGGGTGGGGAGGCCCAGCGGGTCTGGGAGAGCACTCCCCACACAGCGTGGCTCCTATACCCAGAGCAGCTGCTCTCGTGAGCAACTGCACAGCCCCAGGGCGGCCCGGCCTGGGGGCCTGGGGCCGGTGCAGAGGTGCAGCTGCCCAGCTGGGTGTAGCACAACACCTGGTGAGCCCTTGGGCCGTGGTCGCACCTGTGGCGGGAGGGCACCCTGGGTGCCGTGCGCGGCACTGAGATCATGTGAAGCACGTGTGCCCCCTGCTTTGAGCCCGTGACCCCTGTCTCTGTGTGGCCCCTCTTTCCACCCTGCCCTGAGCACAGGCTGCACACACACCCTGAGTACAGGTGAGAGCAGGGCCTTCAGCCTGGGTTCCTACAGCCTGACAGGAGCAGGAGGAAGGGCAGGCTGGGGGGAAACTGAGGCTTCCTGAGATAGGCTGCCCCCCAGCCCATCAGGCGTGTGTGCTGCTGACTGGTGGGCATCACCCTGCGACTCCTCCCCACATCTTCTGACTGAGGAGAGGGCTGCCCTGAAATGGCCTTACCTCTCGCTGCTGTTGTCTCTCCTGGGGCCGCCTTCCCCCTCCTGCTTGCAGATCCTAAGGGTTCTCTTTGGAAACTCTGGCCTTTCCTGAGCCACCCGGAGCTCCCCTCAGTGGGAGGCCACTTGGTAGGGCCCTCCTCCCCCAGGGGCTTCTGAGGTCGCCCTGCCAGCACACATACGTGTACACACGTGTTTCCAGGCTGAGCCAAGTCCAGTGTACCCATTGCTCACACTCTGCTCTGAGCCCCTAGAGTCTAGTCTGATTCTCAGGTGGGCCCCTAAAACCACTAGTCCCTGTAGCACATCATGACAGTGACCTTTCAGCAGAGTGACTTGCAGGGAGTGGTCAGCCATGCATATGTCTCCAGGGCCCGGAGGCGGCAGCTCCACAGACGCATGGGCCCCCACCCTGGAAGGCCCAGTGGTCCCCGTCCCTCCTGCTGCTGGTCTCATGCCCCTTCCCAGCTTCCCCCGACCCTGCTTGTGCTGGCTCTCACTCTGTTGTGTCCCTACTCTCCGTCTCCAGATCTCAACTCCTTCCAGCAGACCTCGAAGTGGATTGACGACGTCAGGACAGAGAGGGGCAGCGATGTCATCATCATGCTGGTGGGCAACAAGACGGACCTGGCAGACAAGAGGTAGGTGTGAAGGTGCGGGGTGCTGGCACGCCTGGCCAACCCTCCACTCCTCCCCAGCTCCTCCTGGACAAGGAGTTCTGAGATGGCGTGAGTGGCGAGCCTGTTCTGACCTGTCCCCGCGCACCTGGGGCACTGGAGGCTCCGAGAGCACCGGGTAGACCGTTGCCCAGTGTCTCAGCTGCAGCCCCACCTTCCCTTGCCAGCAGACACACTCCCCCAAGGGATGTCTGCATGGAGCCCCATGTGCCCAGCCTGGCACAGTGGTGCGGGGGCTGGGGCCTGGCCGTGGCCACAGTGCAGCTGCAGACAGCAGTCCCTCGGGCCTCTGCTGGTTTCTGCTTGTGCTTTGTCTCTGCCCGCGAGATGCCTGCACCAGTGTGGGGGTTCGGGTCCCCAGGTGTGAACATGCAGAATCTCCTGTTTCTATGGGTAGGAGGGACACTTCCTCATAAGCGGCTGCTCCACGGCTGCCTCCAGTGCACAGGCACGGCTGACTTAGGGGCCACCTACGTGCACATTTGTCCACATATCTCATGGGATATGAATTGGTCAGATAAAGCGACAGGTCCTGGACCGTGGACTTCGTGAAGTGTGCTCTGACCGTCTACAGAATTATCTGACTTAGAGCCCGTGTTATTAGGGTCCTGTCCTTGAAGGAAGGAGAATGGCTCAAAGCACAGTTCTGTTGTCAAGGATAAGGATAAGGTCGAGGCAGTCACTTCTAACCTCACTGTCCTCCTGTGGAAAAGGGGACCGAAGACACCACCCAGAGAGGCATTGCGTGGCTCAAAGGGCTTTCTAGAGACGGACACACGGGATTTTGGACGCTTAGGGAAGGATGGGGAGGCCCGCTGCCTACTGCAGGGCCTGCTCCTGAGCGGGAAGGCACTGTGGAAGGAGAAGGGAGAGCTGATGTCCTGCCGTGCCCCGTGCCCTTCGTGCCGGCCGGGGCCCTGGATGGGAGCCCTGTCCTAGGGCTTGCTAGTTGGCTAGGCCTCCCTCTCCTCAGGCTGCTCCCTCTGCCTCTACCAGGGGCTCATGTCCCCCTTGCCCTAACTCACAGGCAGATAACCATCGAGGAAGGGGAGCAGCGTGCCAAAGAACTGAGCGTCATGTTCATAGAGACCAGCGCCAAGACTGGCTACAACGTGAAGCAGGTAGGACGCACCCGGCACTGATTCCGGCCAGTCTGGCCACGGGGCCACTTCAGCCGTGGGCCTGAGGGGCTGGTGACCAGGTTGGGGCAGGCAGCCTGAGCACCATAAATGCCACCTAATGGGGAACAAGGTGACTCCCTCTGGAGCTGGGAAGGCACACAAGAGAAAGAGAGAGAGGGGGAGAGTGCTCACTCCTGGGGTGGAAGGTGTCTGCAGCATGTCATCATTAGCCACTGTACAAGCAGCCAGCTGTATGGTCCCTGTGACATGCTGTCAGTGTCCAGCCACTAACTTCCAGGTGAGAGAAGCAGTATTTCCCTGGACCTCACTTGGGTCGGGGGTACAGGAAATTCAGTCCACCCAGCATTTGGGGGTTCATGCCTTGAGCTTGGCAAGTGCTCAGGGCTGTGCAGGGCCGGGTGGGCTTGCAGAAAGGAGCCTGCCCAGGGTGCGGTTGGAACTTGCAGGGGGTGAGGCCTGGGGAATCGAGCCTGTCGAGAAGCTGTAGCAGGGTTACAGCTGAGCCTTGCAGCAGGGGGCTCCGTAGGTCCCCAGACCCCCAAGAGCCCACCGATGGGAACCAGGGGTCAGCCGACTTGGGTGGGAAAAAGCTACGCTCCGTCTTCACTCACCTGACTGCTCTTCGGCACTTCCTTCAGCAGTGAATGCAGGCAACGGGACTCTATGGTGACGGCCGTCCCTGTGACTTCATCACAGCAGACCTCCCAGCCCTGTTCTTGTTACCTTGTGGCATGACAGGCCCCTCGGCCTTTCCCCTCCTTGCCGCCGCAGTTCCTGGGGTTACTAGACCTGCTGCCAGCTCGTTGTTTAACATGCTCGTGGGGAAGCAGATTCACTGCTGTCTAACAGGCCTGTGTCCTTAGAGAGGTTCTAAGTGCATCTCAGTTCTGAGCTGTTTCCTTTATGCTCCTGTATAACTAATGTCACTTACAAGGAGCCCAGAGGTTTCAGCAGACTGCCAGAGGGCTCTTCGGTTTGAGAAAGGTTAGAAGCCCCTGCCTTCAAGGAAGAGAGGGCTTGAAGAGGTGAGGAGGGAGAGTGTTGCAGACAAGGGTACCGCGTGAGCACGGGTGCGGCAGGAGGGGTGCCGTGGCATGGGGAGTGGGCTGGGTGAGGAGCGTGGCTCCGCGGGCCTGTCACTTCCACGCTGCCACCCCCAGCGGTGCCTGGGAGTGCTCCACAGCTGCCCACACAGCAGCTGGTCTGGATGCAGCGATGGTTCACCTGACATGGGCAGTCCCCGGGCCGCCGGCGCAGGTGGGGGACGAGTGGAGAGAGACAGGAGGAGGGGTCCAGCGTCCACGGGCCTCAGTGCCTTCCTCTGCAGCGCTGCTGTGGTGTCTCCTGGAGCAGGAGCTGCCTGTCCCTGGGGGCATGTAGGAGGCACAGAACTGCTGCTGTGTGTGGCCCTGCTGGGAAGTCAGAGGCAGCAGGGAAGCCACAGGCGGCAGTCCATAGGGCAGGTAGCTTCTGCCTCGGGAGGTGGCGGGGACAGGGGCAGGGAGAGGCTGATGCCTCCGTTACTTAGGACGCTCTGGAACCCAGGTGATGGTCTAAGCAGGAGTTAAATGTAGTCTGTCCAAATCCTGTGCGGTTCAGAGTCTTCACGCAGTGCAGACTCCTGGACTCTAAGCCTGATCATTTCTGCTCTCAGAGACCCCACACGGGACCCCAGGAGGTACCTTCTGACTGCCAGTTTGGCTGGTGGCAGGGGCCGTGACCTTTTTGACAGAGCAGGGCTGCCTGGGGAAGACCGTGAAGGAAAGCGCCAGAGGAGTGACATGGCACTCCGCACCATCAATCACTTCTTCTTGCCCGACTTGGGGCTGCCTCTGCAGGCTGCCCCACAGGGTCCCATACCCTGCCAGGCGCACCGGTGCCTTCTCCACCCAGGTCCTCATCACCTTTGCCCTGCCACCCAGCGCGGGTGCTCTCATTTAGCTGGGCTCTAGGGTGAGACCCCGAACAAGCCCTGCCTCATCTGAGTCCCCACAGTTGGTGTATATGGCGGGAGAGAGGGGTGTTCAGAACCTCCTGGTGCCTTATACTTCTGCTTTGTACTCATCACTCCCTAGGTCCCCTGCCTGCGCCACCTGACATCCCACGCGCCTGTGCCTGTGTGCATGCCTGCATACACCCCACACACATTCTCCCTGTGCATTTACAGACCTACCCACATGCACGCGCCCTCCACACATTCCCCCACACACTTACACGAACTCAGACACCACACTCCACATGCAACGTACATGTCACACTAACACCCACACCCAAACCCACACCGTCACGCTCACACTCACACTCGTGTGCTTTTCTCTCAGAAGTCTCTCTTTCCGATGGGACTGCACGGCCCTGGCTCCCGGTACCTTTCTGTGAATGCCTGTGGACTCATAAAACCCCCTGAGGAGAGGGTCATTTGTCTCCAGAGCAGGTCAAAAGCTGGTTCCCCAAGGGGCAGTGGGACAGAAGCCCGCCTAAGGGCCTAGATCATTTTCTGCACTGGGGTGGTTTCCTCACAGTCGCCATGACTCGTACACAGCTCCTGGTCACCCACAGCCAGCCTGCCTGGGTGAGAGGCCTGCCAGGGCCCAGATCTGCAACAGGTGCTAGGGGGAAGGGAGAGAGAAGTTAGGTGCGGCCCCTGCCCTCCAGGGCACACGAGGACAGACAGGAGAGCAAGGCCTGGGTCAGGACAAGAGGCTAGAGACGTAGCTGGGGGCAGGAGGGACGGGGCCAGAGGCTCACGCTGCATCTCCCCCTCTCTCCAGCTCTTCCGACGTGTGGCGTCCGCTCTGCCTGGAATGGAGAATGTCCAGGAGAAAAGCAAAGAAGGGAGTATCCTTTTCCTTTGATGAGTGGGTGAGAGAGATCGAGAGGCCATTTATCCACTGACGTAATCACCTAGTATTTTAGAGCAGTGGGCGCACCTCACGGGTCTGTAGCCCATCCTTCCCTGCTCAGGAGTATGGTGCGGGGCCTCTGTGAGGGGACAGAGCTGAACTCCAAGGGCTAGAAGACCTCATTCAGCTCTAACAGTGTAAGCTTCTACCTCCAAAACAGTGGGGGATTGGGTACCAGAGGGATGTGAGTGAGAAACCGAAACTCTGCCCATGTTTACAGTGAACATCGCTTTGTATTTCATGGATACAAGTAGCGTGTCCGCTGCACAGGAAGGCTTCTCCACACCCAGAACATGGCTCGACCTACTCTACCTGAGACACTTCCTGCTGTGTCCTGCCTGCTTCCTCCGCCCAGCCCTGCACAGCCCCAGAGTGCCCACTGCTCTGTGGGACAGGGTCCTGCTTGCACCGTCCACCCCAAACCTCAGGTAACACGCAGAAGCTGAAATTGAGGTTCAGAGAGGTAGTCTTGATTTTGCCAGCGGGAAGGAAGGCAGTTACTTATACGTACTCTGCCATGTTACAAAAAAAGTGTTCCTGTGTATGTACACAAGATAAACATACGCTATTTGTGTACACACACGTAGGAAAACTGAGGTGGAGGAAAAACAGGAGGAGGAAAAGTCAGAGGTCAAGTCACACTCAAAATATATGCCATGGCCAAGACGTGGCAAAGAGAGAAAATGTGATCTCAAGAAGCATGGCTCTTTATAGTACTTAAAGCCAAAAGACCCCCTCCCACAGTCCTCACGCAGGGGCCGCAGAAACGCCCTGGGCCTGGGACGCCTGCAGCAGGCCCCACAGCGCTGCCCGGGAGGAGCCCTCCTCCTCCTGCGCCGTGATCGGGCCTGCTGTGGGTGGAGGAGCAGCGTGGCTGTGCGTCTTGAACCCATTCCCTTGGTGGTTCTGAGCAGTGCTCCTCCAGCCCACAGTCCCCAGGCACAGGGGGAAGGGCTGGAGAGGGGGCTGTGCCGAGGCCCTGCCCCAGGGATGTGGCTTCCCCCAGCAGCCTCCTCCGAGTCTAAGTGCTGCCCTCTGACTAAAGCTTGAGGGGTCAGTGTTGCTGCGAGGGGCTAGGGCAAGGCACCCCTAGCCCTGTGCTAAGAGCTGGGACCCATACCTGGCCACCACCTCCCATGCACATTTGTACGGGGGGATTGGGAGGTAGCGAGGCTGAGGCACTGGTCGCCAGAAAGCTTCTGAGAAAGGGCCTCTCTCGCCCATGTTCACAGTCATCCCACAGCCCAAACGGGTTTTGGTTCAGGTGGGTAGGGGTGAGGGGGTGTGGGAAAAAGAGGGGTGGGAGCTGGTGACCCTGCGTCCTTCCTCCCCAGCCAAGCACAGAGCCCAGTCCCTAGGTGTTTGTGGAAGGACAGAGGATCTGCAGGGGCAGCTGAGGGATGCAGGGACATGAGCCAGGGTGGTAGCTCTCTGAGAGTCATGTTCCTTAGCACAGCCCCCTGCAGTGATCGACATCAAGCTGGACAAACCCCAGGAACCCCCAGCCAGTGAGGGCGGCTGCTCCTGCTAATGCAGCCGGACCTGCCAGCTTCCTTTGACACTACTCGCTTGTTGTGTTGCTTCCTATTGGTTAGCTTCCTAAGGGGGGTGGGGAATGAGCTTATCAAGATGGGAGGATTTTTCTTTTCTCTCTGTCTCTAGGAGTAGGGGGTGGGGTGGGGAGGGAGGCTGGGCATCAGGGATCACGTCACTCTTAACAGCTGTTACTTAAACAACTATTTTTTGGTTTGGTTGTAATATATTGTACTTTATTAAGATTGCCAAAAACTGTTAAAATTTAAAAAAAATTTAAATCATGTGTATACAACTTTTTGCCAGATAAAAATGTAGTCATTTTTATTTAAAAGATGTGCTTTTTGTTTTTGTATATTTGTAAACTTACAGAGAACCTTTTCCACACACCTCCTCCTTCCTGTCCTCTTTGAACCGTTAATCACCTCTGCCCGCCTCCCATCCCAGCCCAATAAATTACAATTAACTGGGCAACTTAATTGGGCTCCAGTGCCAGATCCTTCGAAACAGGCCCTACCTGGTTAAATCAAACACTGAACAAAACAGCCTCTGAAGAGGCAACTTTTAACTGTCCTTCTTCCATGGCCGGAGGGGAACATTAGCTGTGGCCCTGAGATGAATTTATGACCTTGTGGACAGTAGGGGAGCCCAGCAGCAGGCCCTCCTGGAATTACTTCTGCCTCTCCCCTCCCCTCTCTGAAAAGCCCTGAAGGGAGTGGAAGGCACTTGCGACAGGCAACCCATGTTCTCTGTGGTCCACTCAGTTACTGGCAGAGCAGGGTCATCGGAAGGAAGGACGAGGTGTGGTTGGTGGCCCTGGGCTCGGTCCACGTGTGGTTTATAGCCTTGGGGCACCACGTGTGGTTCTGCAAATGTTCTAACCAACTTTCCCATTGTTCAGCCCACATGTCTGGGTTGAATCTAAGGGAAAGGCAAAGAGAAACTCAGTGTGTGCCACCCTGAAGCCTTCCCCCTCAGATGTCGGGGGAAGCTAGAGCCTGCAGCACTCAGTATTTGTCTGTTATTGGGGACGGGAGGGTTGACTGTGGTACCGCCACCTTGAAGATGCACGTTCAGATCCTCGGTTGCTAATACTATATTGAGTGCTATTCTGGAAAAGCTGACTTCTCGATGTGTTTCTGCCCCACTGGCATAATGCAGTTTTGATCTTCGTGCACTTACCTTTGTGGATAGCGTAGCGGCACTCTGGTTGCCTGAGGGTACTGCTGACGCGGGGTCTCCAGAAGGCTGCCAGAGAGCCATCCTTGCCGTTTTGACTTCTTTCTGAGAAGGGCTTAATCCTGAGGACCTGTAAAATCTCTGAAGAGAAATCTAAGCGATGTAACCCATTTAGCCAGCATTCCAAATTGACCCACACTTACTGAACCAGAGCCTGCAGAGCCAGGCAGTAGGCAGAAACTCTGTCCCCAGATGGTAAACCCGGCCCTCAAAGCTGGCATGGACTCTGCCTCCGGGCTGCTGTGGGCATGTCCTGCATGAGCTAAAGGACCATCTGGGAGTGGTAGGGGGTGACCTTCCACCAAGTAGGACTCTAACAAGTTATTGCATTAGGACTTCTCAGAAACAAATCTAAAACGGCAGCCGTGTAAGTGGAGCAGAGCCTCGCAGGACTCCTGGATATCTGTCCTGTGGGCCTGCCACACACTTCCACACAGTTCAAGGAGACAGTATGTCCGAGCTGATCCTTAGAGGAATTGATCTTCAGGTGACGAACAGAGGAAGCAGGATTCACACTGAGCTCCTCTTTCAGTAGGCAAGGACCGATGTACGAACGGAATTCCAATGTCATGTGTTTAGTTTTTATATGTGTGTACATAATTATATATAGAGATAGACTTGTGTATACACCTTCCACACATTGTCACAGAGATACATGTGCTCAATGTATATTGTTTTTCCTGCTCTCAAGTTGGAACATGCATTGTGATATCAATTTTGGAAATTCAAAAGTACTGCAACGTGTTGAAATAAGAAATACTTAATATTGTCAAAAAACCTGTGATTGTCTTGCCATCAATAAACTAATGCATAGATGTGTTAAACTACAGGCAAAAACAGCCATGGGAATATGTGCACCGTATCTCTCTATACTTATATGCACAGGTGTGCACGCCCACGTGGCACACCCCCAAGTGGTGCTTGTTGGGAGAGTGCTTACTTACCTCGTGAGAATTTCTAGGAGTCCACGCTACAGAACCCGGCCTGGTTGGCAGTGAGGGCCATTGCTTGTGGCCCCTGGGACAGCCCCATTTGCTGGACTTTGCCTTGGGTCCCAGTGAATGAACGTATGGTGGATTATCATTTTCTTGGTACTAAAGAGTAGCTTTTCTTAAATATTACTGTAAAAACAAAGTAGAAACTCTGTTCCCTTCTCACGTGCACAGTTTATGGCACCACATTTTTTCCCCATCACAGCCTAGGAGTAGTAAGAGATGCCGTAGATGTCATGTGGTTCCACGTGGCCTCAGTGAGCCCTGCCTTCCTCACGCGTACACAAGGTCCTCTCCCGAGTCCAAGCTCTCTAGCCCTGCAGCTTCCGAGGCAGGGACAGTTGTCGCCTCTTGTCCTCCCGGATTAGTGGTGCCATTCCCTCCCATCACTCCCCTTCCCTCAGGCCTGATTGCCACACCTCACCTCCTGGTTTGGGGACGCCCCCAGCTATCTCACAGACACAGGTTGGTTCCTCGGCTTTCGTTCTGAGCAGGTGCTGTCACTGTTCTCTAGCCTGTAGACAAGAGAGCTTGTCTTGACTGGGAGCTAAGGTTCAATAATCGAGTGGTTAGGTTCCTTTGAAGAAGAGGTGATGAAATTGCCTCCGCATCCCCAGCGAGTGTTACATCTCGAATCCAGACGGGTCGGCACGAGGCAAGGCTGTCGTTCAGCCCTTCTCCCTAAGGGCCAGCCCTTACCTGGGCAACGGCCAGGGTCGTGTGCAGGCCCCCCACCTCCTTGTTTTTTAATTTGGAGGTCTCAAAGAAAAGCTGTCAGTAAAGCTTCTATTCCACAGGCATCTGAAAAATGAGAGCATCAGATGCAGGAAGCAGATAGCATAGATATAAACGTACATGTGTGCTGGAATGAAGGTGTGACGTCAGCAGCTTGAGCGTATAGTCCAAGGGTAGCAAGCTGGGTGACTGTGAGCAAGTCTCTGGGTCAAGAGGCCTGTCTGCCATCACTGTCACCTCTCTCTTCCGTCGGCACCCTCCAACATCCCGTAACACTCCTGGGTCTGAGGAGCAGTGGCCAGGTCAGTTCAAGGGTCTCAGGCTACAAAAACCAGGATTCAAAGGGCAGTAGCTAAATGTACAGACGTATCCTGAGTGCAACAGCCCTGTCCTCCTGCTGGCAAGCCAGTGCTGGCAGCCCCTGCCCTCAAGTACCAGGTGTGACAAAACGGCACCGCTGGCTTCGGTGTCCTGCAGGCAGAGCGGCCTCATTCCTTCACACGGCAGAAGGCAGGTGAGGACATCAGGAGGGGAGAACAGGCAGCCGAGGACTAAGACCCCCTGAGCCACGTGAGGGGCGACCTAACAGAAGCATGTCTTTGTGCATCAACCAAGCAGGGCTGTGTGCTCGCTAGTCTCCAAACTACCTCTCCCCAGGCGTGTGAGGCGTCACCACCCGGCTACGGCAGCACGAGGCAGCGGTCTCACGACCCCTCCAGCCTCGCAGGCGGGGAGACAGAAGCGAGAGGGCGACTTGCTTGTCATCATCCAGTAAGTTGGAAGCAGTCAGGGCCAAGGTGCCTCCATTCTTCGTCCATCGCCAACCCGATGGACGTCAAGGGCTGCTGTGCACGGGGGCTCCTCAGACCAGCTCTGCTTGGGTTAGGGTGTAAGGTTGTGTCCAGCGTACGCGAGCAAGCTGGGCAAGAATGCACATATGTTTCACGCTCCTCCATTGCCAACAAGGCCCAGTCCCCAAGTCCACTCTGATTGTCATGGGCACCTGCAGACCAGGGCACCCTTTGAATTTCTGGTTGAGATGAACTGTAGGTGTTCCAAAACTTCGGGCTCTCATGTGTAAACTCTCCGCGCCAGAGCCCTGCGTGGCCAACGCTCCCCGCAGGGCATGGCTTCTCCTCACACCGGGGTTTGGAAGCTTCCTTCCAGTGGGAAGCCTCCATACACGGAAGGCTAGCCAGCATCGCATGGTGTGTCAACTTGTCCCCTCACTTTCCCTCACCCATCCCCTTAGTGGTTGGCCATGAGGAGCACAGAGGGTGGCATTTCCATCTTTTACTGGCTCAGCAGGCGTAAGTGGCCACGTTGACTTTACATAAAACTGTGTAAAATGTGGAAGATTGAGCATGTTGATCAAACAATAAACTGTCCTGATTCTCAACACAAAACCTCGTCTAACATTTCTAAGGGGTGCAGTCCTATATGGAGGGGGAGGGGGAAGTGGGGCAAAAACAGATTTCCTCAAGCACCTGCTCCACAAAGACCCTCATCTCCTGTCTGGGTGCTGGGCCCTCCTCTTGGGTCCTCCACACACTCGGAAGGGGTGAAAGTGGGACACACTAATGACGTTAAAGCCACACTGATTTCCATAATCTCCACTCTCCCTCAAGACTGATGGAAGGAGAAGCCCCAGGCAGAACTGAGACTTAGGTGTGTGTGATCACTTCTGTCAACCCTGGTCTCCACTTACCATGGTGGTGGGCGGGGCAGGGGGGAGGTGGTTAAAGGGTGGGTACAGGGACTGAATCTCTCTTCCTTCTGGTAATTTCCAGACAGCCATTTAAAGAACATAAGGTGAACCATAATCATCTTTCGGATGACACCAAGCAGCCACAAACTACCTCCCCTTCCCCCCACGCTAATTAGAGAATATCCCCAAGAGGCCCCTTCAGTCTCAGTCATCTCCAGACTAAAAGAGGCCTTGAAGGCCAGGACAGCTGGGGGACCAACCCAAAGAGGACACAGAGGCCAAGTTCAGGCATAGAACCGCCCTGGGCCGGGAATGCTGGGAACTCTGGAGTACCGGGTCTCCTTCTTCGAGTTCCACTTCACTCTCTCTCTCTCTCCCCTTCAAAAGTTCAAAGTTTCTGGAACACCGTCCCATCTGCCACCTCAAGAAAGATGCCTCTAAATTAGGAGGGACAGGAAATAGAGGTCTCTGCCCACTAAGCCTAGCTTTCCTGGCTGCCAGATATAAAATGTGAGGTAGAGGAGGCACAGGCGATGTTCAAGGGCCAGAGGCCTGACGACAGCCAAGTGCACAAACCGGATTCAAGCCAGAGTCCCGCTGTTCCAAGACCAGCAGCCATTCCCCAGGGTGACCGGACCGGAGACAGTGAGGGGAAGGAGTAATCTCAGTAGGCCACAGCATTCCCCGCACGGCCGTCCAGCACCCCTCCCCTTGTCGGGTAAAGAGAGCACCGCTGCGGTTCCCCAGACCCACACGGGAGATCAGAGCGCTGGTGGCCGGCCTGTGTGAAGTGCCCCGCGTGCCGCAGAGGGATGCTGCTCCAGGCGGCTTTCCTGATCATCGCAGCTGTGCTGGGGTCCAGTGAGCAAGAGTGGGGACAGGAGCTTTGGACACCCCTTGCTAACTTCAAATGCAAGAACGCCAAGGTATACTGACATACAAATATACCAAGAATACCACCAACAAAAACGCTATTTCAGCTGAAACATAATCTTAAGTAAACGGAACGCCAGCGCCTCACACATTACCAGAACCACGGGGACGCTGGGGGCTCAGGAGGTACCCAGACAGAGGCCATGGGAAAAGCTAAGTGGCAAACCCAGGCGCCCCCTGCTAACAACAGCCGTCGCTGGCCAGGACCCCGGCAAACTGGCAGGCACCTGGCAGTCAATGGGCCACCTTGGGAAAGGGCTTGGAAAAAGAACTGGGCTCGAGAGCAGGATGGCCGGTCCCCAGGGCCCCCGCTCTATACGTGTGCCCCATACCCTGTGGAAGACCGCAGGCCAGAGGCAATGGTGTGCCCAGGGCATATTCATCATAGCCACCCCCCGACAATAGCGTCCTCGTGGCCCGCACCCCTCCCTCAGCAGGGAACAGGATCATTGGTATCAGGTGGCAGCCGGCCTGGGGGCAGTCTCAGTGCCCATACACACTCAGTGGCTCAGACACCATGTTCCCAAAAAAGAGCTCTTTCAAGCCATGACTGTCTCATCTGTGACACACAGTTGTGCCTTGTCTGCCATCCCATGACTGACCTCTCTTTCCACTGTGGCCACACTTCCCTCCCACCTCATGAAGAAATGGACGACTTTGGCCAAATGGCTTCAGGGCCACCAGAGGAGAGAAAACACATGACCTATCAAATCTCCTTCCCAGCACCCGAGGGAAGCCCCTGTTGATCTCATCCCGGCCCAAATGCACAAGAATGGGTGGCTGTAGCACAGGAGTAGGAAGCAGCAGGACGAGAGAGTGCTGACTTCATCCAGTCAGAAGAACTGAACAGGGCTCGTGGCCCGAAGGACTTAAAAACCAAACCTACTGAAGGTGCATGTAACACTCCGGGGCAGATGACTTCTGAGGGTGTTCCTAGGAGCCCATGTACCTGGTAAAGCATCTATTAAGCATGCGGATTCCACAGACCACACCAGATCGGCCGCTGAGTTGAATGTTTAGGAGCAGGAGCCTCAGAAGGGCTAACCAGCACCACAGATAATTCGGATGCACACCAGCATCTGAGAATCCGTGTTTGAGGTATGACATTACTTTTTCGGGAGATCATCTTTCAGCCTTGAAGACAATTCAACTTTGCTCCCCTTGTCATTTTTTTGGTATATTGCCTCCTCTAATAAATTATAACAGTTTATTAACCAGAAAAAACCCCCAAAGTAAAACCAAGAGATTACATGCCTCTTAACAGCAGCATCAAGCCATCGGTTTTTATTCACACAAGCACCTGTGATTATGTAAACATGTCACATTTATCACAACCCTTTTTGATTTCTGGCTCATTACTCTTACCTATTTCCTTAAATCACTGCTGGCTAATAAGGACAAAAACTAAGAATCCAAAGGACAGAAAGAACACCAGCAGCACTGAAGCTTTAGGATAATAACTGCCACGGTCAAGGTCCAATGTCTTTCCCGTGTCAGCTTGCACGTATTCCATACACGAGCAGCGAGGTGTTGGAAACTGAGTTGAGGGCACAGGGGAGCTGTAGTCTGACGCAGAGCTAGAATCACCCAAAGGAAGATGTGATGGCGGCCAGAGGCTTGGGCTGCAGCACACATGGGGCCCACCTGCACTGGGATGCTATCAGCTCCGTGCTTCTATGGACTCCCCCTGACCCCTCACGGCCAAGGTCGGTGCCCATGCTGCGTGCTTGCAGAGCACCCATGCCCCTGTCATGCTCTGACCACACTCTTCTGGGATTAACTTCTCACTTAACCCACAACCACTCTGATCTCATCTGAGGCTTTAGCTGAGCTTGTGCCTGAGGGTGTGAAGTAGGGACAGCACTTTGCTCCTGTGTACACTGCCGTCTGCAGGCCCTGGAGATGTGGAACCAGGCCTGCACCCTACCTCACACATGCTCCCGCTTATACTCACTATACCCTTCCATTTCATTGCTTTGAGCCATACAGGTTGTTTTTATTTGCCAATAAACACATAATAATTTATAAAAGCCACTAAAAAAGCCAACATTCAAGAAGACAACAAAGAACATCATTTTGAAGAGGCCAACTTTTCTTTTAACCAGCAGTGAATATGCACTTTAAAAAACTGCAGAGAACTTTTGTCATTCACATGTGGTCCACAGCATTCTGTCTCTGAGTACAAAACGGGCTGGTCAAACAGAGCACAAACACATCCCAGGAGCCCTCAGCCATCCAGAAAACCACAACAGCTTCTCAATCTCCAGACTCCTCAATTAAGGGAAACCACGAGAACACAGAGACCCTTGGCAATGGGGATTTAGCATTTACAGTTCTGTCATCTGGGAAGGACTCCGAGGGCTCAGGGCATGTTTTTGAAACCTAAGTGCTATAAGGCTGGAGTGTGGACCAGTCACAAGCTGATGAAGAACAGACCAGCTGTCAACACAGCCTTGCTGTTTTCTCCCTGTCTTCATATGTCAGGAGACCATCTTGTAAACTGCACCCGCACATCTGAGAATTCACAAAGGACCAGATGCTGTACTGCCCACAAACACCAAGGACAAATGGAAATCAAATGGTTCCATACACAGACAGGTTTGTTTTCAGCAAAAGGGACTAAAGCACAGAGCAGTGGATAAGAAATTTTCAGATGATGATCATATTCACATGATAATACCCTCTTGACCTTATGTCAAGCATATGTTAAAGGGACAACACCTTACTTAACAAAAGGAAGACACACAAGTAAATGAAATTAAAGCACCGAGGGAGAACTGAACTTAAAAATAAAAATTCCAAGTTATTTTTGACATTAATTTGTTTCCAGAGCAAGAAAATGTTTCTTATTACATTCTGTACCCCTTCTTTATCAACTCCAGGCTACCACACCCTTGTCCAAAACTATCAGTCACACACATACGGATTCAACCGTCCTGCACTTTGGCTCTGCCCCTCAGGCGATCTTAGCGAGCCATTTCTCCAGGTCCCGGATGTCAGCAGAGCCAGCGTCCCCTCTTCCGCCCTTGGCACTGCACTCCAGGAACTCCACTTTGAGAGGCAACTGTGAGAACTCAAATTCTTTGCCTTTCTTTCCCAGCTGAACAGGGGCAGGGCTGGAGCTGTCCAGTGTGCTGGGGGCAGCAGAACGGGTGACTCGTAAAGTGTTGCTGTCACACAAAAGAAAAATGAGGAGTCAGGAAGAAGAGAGTAACTTATAGAGCGATTAAAGGCCTTTAGGAAACCACATTCTTTCCTAAATATTTCGGCTCCTTTAAATACTTAACCATAAAACTGTCAATTATGCTACTAAGATTGCTGAATAACCCTCTGCATTCAAAGACTGTTCTCAGATAGGAGCGATGTGGGTCCAGCCTGACTTGGCTTGATGAAGAGCAGGTCAGTAACGTCCCCAGGCCCTACCAGTGCCCCCTGGCCCTCTTCCACCAGAATCACCTGCATGATGCCATTTTTAGACGTCTATATATACAAATAAATCAAGAGTCAGATGCTCAAATGGCTGTGCCACCCAGACACTCTGAACACCTTTTTTAAAATACATACGGGGCGCCTGGGTGGCTTAGTCGGTTAAGCATCCGACTCTCGCTTGGGTCATGATCTCGCGGTTCGTGGGTTCGAGACCCGCGTCAGGCTCTGTGCTGACTGCCAGCTCAGAGCCTGGAGCCTGTTTCAGAATCTGTGTCTCCCTCTCTCTCTGACCCTCCCCTGCTCACGCTGTCTCTCTCTCTCCTAGAAACAAAAATAAAAAAAATATATATATATAAAATACATACTATAAGTGTTACAATAACTTAACTGAAAGTTAAGTGTGGGTAGATAGAGTATATTTATCACCAGTCAGTCTGGATACAGAGCTTAGAAATCCACGAATCCAATTTGGGCCCAATCACTATTCTCCAACCTCTTTACCCACTAAAACCTTCCCAATTTAAGTTGTCTTACTGCTGTCACCTGCTGGCCCCCAAAAAGAGTATAGCAATGCTCATTGTCTACTTCTCCCACTTTCTGCTATTCAGAAGCAGAGAAATCCATGCTCCCCAACGTGCTTTCTTACAAAATAAAGCATTTCTTGAAGCTAGAAGACTGCATGAAAATTAGTGAAGAGTCTGCAGAAAAAACTAAGTAATACCTTGCTTAGAAACACACGTGAAAAAACTTTTTAAAAAAGAATACAAAGTTCAAGATATTACTTATCTCTTGACAGAAAGGGGGAAAGGCTTTTGGGGAGGAGCCCTTAGGGCCTTCTAAGCAAGGTGGTAGGCCATGGGTATCCATTTTAATATTCCTTAGATTCAATGTATGTGTCATACGTATCCCTTTATATGTAAGATACTTTACAATAAAAAAAACTTAGGGGCACCTGGGTGGCTCAGTTAGTTAAGTGTGCAACTCTTGGTTTCAGCTGAGTTCACAATCTCATGGTTTCATAGGTTTGAGCCCCACCCAGGGCCCTGGACTGAAAGCAGGAGGCTGCTTGGGATTCTCTCTTCCTCTTTCTCAGCCTCTTCCCTGATCATGCTGTCTCTGTCCCTCTCAAATAAATAAATAAGCTTAAAAAAAAAAAAAAATCTTAAAAAACTGAAAAAGGAAAAAAGGCCAACCATAGCATGTACTTGCCATAAAGCTACATGAAAATAGTTATAACCCTTGTTATTCAGAAGACTATGAAACCTTCCTAACTTTTAACATTTTGCTTCACTATAATACAGCATTTTCTTCTGTATTACTTTTCTATTGCTCTTTAGAGTGAAAAGCAAATGAATTAAGGAAAGCGTGTGTTTTGAACACAGGAAGACTTGGGACTATACTGCTAAATAGAAAAAAACCCAAAATGGATACACAAATATTATGATCACCTTTTCCCCCAATTCCCAACAACTGCAGAATTTCTAGAAAAACCAAACCATCTAACTGTCCCAATTTCCTTAGTCTAACAACAACCAATTTACAGTCTCAAGAGAGAGAACATCAAGAGTAAGGAAAGAGATGAAAAATGTGCAATTTCAGAAGGGACACAAACCACCAGCAGTGATGTTTACAAGATGGCAGAATAGCTGTTTTCAGCACAAGCCGTCTTCTGACAGAACCATTATTTTGAATAACTACCTATGCATGAAGAGATAAGGGATCCAGGTCAAAGATCACAGGACCTGGGTATGTTATATAGAAATAAGAAAAGATGCCCTGAAGAGAGTAGGAAGGACAGTTTCATGTTACCCACATTACTTCTCCTGCAACATGGAGAGATATGCTTCACATGTGGGAAGGACAGTGAGGTGAGCACTCACTATTCCAGAAGACCCAGCATCAGGCAGGCCCCCATGGCCCCAGCCCACTCCTGTGGACCCAAGCCCCAGGATCACAATGGGCCAGCCCTGGCCCAGCACAAGGCCTGGCCGAGCAGACCCAGGCACTGACCAGACAGGAGAGATTCAGGTGCCAGGGTGCCTGAGGGGACCCTGGTGCCAGGCCTGCTTCCATGGAGCCAGTCAGTAAGCGCACCAACCCATGGACCTAGGAGCTAGGCCAGCCTGCCCAAGGACTCCAATAGCAAGCCCATCAAAGGAACAAAATGAAGCACCAATAACTGACCTTAAAGAAATGGAGATCTACGAACTACCTGACAAAGAATTCAAAATAATCCTTTGAAAGTTGATCGAGCTATAAAAGAAAAAGACAACCCAATAAAATGAGAAAAACAATATATGAATAAAAATGAGAAATTCAGGGCACATGGCTGGCTCAGTTGATAGAGCATGTGACTCTTGACCGTCGGGTAGGGAGTTGAAGCCTCACATTAAGCATGGAAACTACTTTTAAAAAAAATTCAACAGAAAGAAACCATAAAACTTTTTTAGGATATTCTGGAGCTAAATAACACAGTGACTGAGGTGAAAAATTCTGAGATCATTAACAGGAGACTTACTGAAGCAGATAAAAGAATCAGAGTGCTTAAAGGCAGGCAATTTAAAGTTACTCAATGAGAAGAACGAAAAGAAAAAAGACAAAAAGAGTAAAGAGAGCCTATACAGGGGCACCTGGGTGGCTCAGTCAGTTAAGCATCTGACTTTGGCTCAGGTCATGATCTCACGGTTCATGAGTTTGAGCCCCAGGATGAGCTCTGTGCTGGAGCTTGCTTTGGATTCTGTGTCTCCCTTGCTCTCTTGCCTCTCCCCTGCTCGCACTCTGGCTCTCTCACAAAAATAAACATTAAAAAAGAGAGAGCCTATATAACTTACAAGACATTAAAGGAACCAAGTACGTGCATTATGGTAGTCCCAAAAGGAGCAGAGAAAGACAAAGAAACAAAGTTTATTCAAAGATAATAATAAAGAAAAACCCTAGTCTAGAAAGGGAAATGCACATCCAGATCCATTAAGCCCAAAGAACTCCAAACAGATTAAACATTAAGAGAAAGTTTTTCGCTCTCCTTCACATGTGATAGACAGCTTTGCTGGGTACAATATTCTTGGTGGCAGTTTTTTTTTTCTTTCAGCACTTTGAATATACGATTCCAAATGGCCTACAAAGCATATGGTAAGACTAAGAAATTTAGTCTTGTGGGTTTCCCTTGTTTGTGACAATTGGCTTTTCTCTTGCTTTCAAAATTCTCTTTGACTTCTGTCAATTTGAATATAGCAGATGCACAAAATAAAGAGAAAGCATAGCACCACAAATAGATCATTAAATTACAAAGACAGAGAAGAAAGGGACAAAGGAATTATAAAACAAAACAACAGAGTAAATCCTTACCTATCAGTTAAACGTAAATGGCTTAAATTCTTTAATCAAAACAGAGTGGATGAATGGATTAAAAAAACAAGATTGAACGATATTCTGTCTCCAGATTATAGAGATTTAAGGTTCTACATGAAGTGACAAAAAAGATATTCCATGCAAATGGTAACCAAAAGAGCAGAGCTGGCTAGACTTATTTAAAGAAAACAGACTTTAAGTCAAAAACTGTCACAAGAGACAAAGAAAGTCACTGTATAATAAAAAAGGGATCAGTTCATCAAAAGGATATAATAATTGTAACCATGTAGGCACCTAACATCAGAGAATCTAAATACATAAAGCAGATTAACAGAACTAAAGACAGAAATGCATAGCAATACAATGATAGCAGGGGACTTCAATACATTTCCAATAATGAACAGATCATCCAGACAGAAAATCAATAAGAAAACAGCGTATTTGAATAAGACTACACCAAATATAACTAACAAACACAGAACATTCCATCCAACAACTGCAGAATGCATTCTTTTTAAGTGTACACAGAACAGTCTCCAGGATAGATAGTATGTTAGGCCACAAAACAAGTCAACAAATTTAAGAAGACTGAAATCACATCAAGTACCTTTCTGAGCACAATGGTATGAACCTAAAAACCAAGAATAGAAGGAAAATTTGAAAATTCACAAATATGTGGGGAGTAAATAACATATTTTTGAATAACTAATAGGTCAAAGCAAATAAAAGGCAAATAAAAAAATACTGGAACAAATAAAAATGGAAATTCAACACACCAAAACTTACAGGATGCAGCAAAGGCAGTTCTAAGAGGGAAGTTTGTAGCAATAAACATCTACCCTAAGAAAAAAGGAAAATCTCAAAAAAACAACCTAACTTGATAACGTCTAAAAACTAGAAAAAGAACAAACTAATCCCAAAGTTAGCAGAAGGAAGGAAAAAATTAAAATCAGAGCATAGATAAATGAAATACAGTCTAGAAAACAATAGAAACTATCAATGAAAAGAGAGTCGGTTTTTTGAAAGAAAAAACTGACAAACTCTTAGCAAGGAGGAAAAAGAAGACTAAAATTAATAAAATCAGAAATGAAAGGGCTACCTTATACTATAGAAATACAAAGGATAAGGCACTACTATCAACAAATTAGACAACCTAGAAGAAATAAACTCTTAGAAACACACAACATATCAAAACTGAATCATGAAAAAATAGAAAATCTGAACAGACCAATAATGAGTAAGGAGGCTGACTGTATCAGTAATTAAAAGCCATAAGGAAAAGCCCAGAACTGGACAGTATCACTGGTGAATTCTACCAAACTTTTCTTCTAAAGAAAAAAAAAATTTTTGTTTTTGAGACACAGAACCCAAGTGAGCAAAGAACGGAAAGAGAAAGAATTCCACAAGGTACAGAGGGAGAGGGAGAGACAGTGCAGAGCCCGGAGTGGGGCTTGAACTCAAAAACTGAGATCATGACCTGAGCCAAAGTTGGATGCTAAAACGGCCGAGTCACCCAGGTGCCCCCTACCAAACATTTAAAGAAGAAATCAACACCAGTTCATCTCAAACTTCCTAATTAAAGAGGAGGTAACACTTCCAAACTCATTTTACAAGGCCAGCATTACCCTGGTATCAAAGCAAAACAAGGCCACTACAAGAAGACCATAGGCCAACATCCCTAATGAACACAGATGCAAATTTCTCAACAGAATACTGGAAAACCAAATTCAACAGTACATACATTAAATGGATTGTACACTATGATCAAATGGGATTTATTCATGAAAAGCTCAACATATCTATAAAGGTGATACATGTTAACGGGATGAAGGATAAAATCATATAATCATCTCAATAGATACAGAAAAATCATTTGACAAAAATCAACATCCTTTCATGATCAAAACTCAACAAAATAGGCACAGAAGGAATGTAGCTCAAAATAATAAGGGCCATATATGACAGAAAATATCATACTCAATGGTGAAAAGCTCAAAGCTTTTCCTCTAAGATCAGGGAAAGCCAAGGATGCTTTTAATCTTTGGCTTTTCCTGACTCTCACCGCTTCTATTCAGCGTAGCACTGGAAGTCCTAGAGAGAGCAATTAGGCAAAGAAAGAAATAAAAAGCATGCAAATCAGAAAAGAAGTAAAATTATCCCTGTTCACAGAGGACTTAATCTTATAAAGTCTTAATCTTACAAATCCCTAAAGAAACCATCAAAAAAGCAGAGCTACTAAACAAATTCAGTAAAGTTGTAGGATACAAAACTGATATACAAAAATCAGTTATATTTCTATGCACTAACAAACTATCAGAGAAATTAAGAATTAACAATCCTATTTACAATGTATCAAAATAAAATACTTAGGCACAAATGTAATGAAGTAGGTGAAAGATCTATACACTAAAAACTATAAGCCATTCATGAAAGAAATTGAAGACATGAATAAAGGAAAAGATGTTCCTTGTTCCTGAATTGGAATAATTAAATACTGTTAAAATGTTTATACTACGCAAAGCCCTCTATAGATTCAATGCAATCCCTATCAACATTCCAATGGAAATTTTCACAGAAATAGAAGAAACAAAGGATGAATGGATAAAGAAAATGTGGAATATAGATAGTGTGGAATATTCTCTAGCCCTGAAAAATGAGGAAAACCTACTATTTACCACAACATGGATGAACCTAGAAGACATTATGCTAAGTGAAATAACAGACACAGACACAGTAAGACAAATATTGTACGATCACATTTATACATGGAATCTAAAACAAACACAAACACAGGGCGCCTGGGTGGCTCAGTCGGTTAAGCATCAGCTCAGGTCATGATCTCACAGTTTGTGAGTTCAAGCCCTACGTCGGGCTCTGTGCTGACAGCTCAGAGCCTGGAGCCTGCTCCAGATTCTGTCTCCCTCTCTCTCTGCCCCTCCGCTGCTCACTCTGTGTGTGTCTCTCTCTCAAAAATAAATGAACATTTAAAAAAATTTTTTTTAAATAAATAAAATAAAACAAACACAAACAAGCTAAGGAGAATGGTGGTTACCAGGGGTGGAGTGAGAAATGGGGAGCTAACAGTCAAAGGCTCTAAAGTTTCAGTTACACAAATAAGGATGTGCTAGAGATCTACTATACAGCATAGTATCTACAGTTAACGATATTGCCTTGTACACTTAAAATCTACCACTAGGGTATCATAAGTATTCTCAAGAAGAACCTCTCTCACACACACAAATAATTAAGGGAGCAGGAGGAAACTTTCGGAAGTAATGGATATTTTAATGGCCTCAATGGTGGTGATGGTGTCAAAAGTGGATATTTATCCCCAAATCCACAGGGCTGTATATATTAAATATGCACAGCTTTCTAAGTATCATTTACGCCTCCATTAAGGGGTTTAAAAATCTCTTTATATTCAACTTGAAGGCATGATGTCTTTGATAAATCTGATTGAAGAGTCAACTTCACTCGTTATATATTAAAACATTTAAAGTATATGGAATTAAATATATCATTTTCAATTAAAAGGAAAAAAAGGAAGAAACCATAGAAAATGGCACACTAGGCCTGGTAAAATTTTTCTGTAAAGAACCATAAATTAAATGTTTTGGGCTAGTGGGTGACATTTAGTCTCTGTCACATATTTTTCTACTTTTCTTATTTTTTTGCCTGTCCTTTAAAAATGTAAAACTAAAAAAATAATAAAATACATACACACATACATAAATGTATAAGTATTCCTTGTTTGCACACCCTGAGCAGGAATTTGTTAACCATAAACTCTTGAGTAGAGAGGATCATATTTTCCCCTATAGCCACATCCTAAATGCAGGGTCTGCCATATACGAGATGAACTACAGGTTCTTGTTAAGTGAATAAATGAATAATAAGTAAATCCTAGGGAGAAAAAAAATGTGTTCAAAGTTGAAATTATGCAATTTTTTCTCATCAGGTTCTTTTCTTTAATAATAAACACAAAAAGTCCTGAGGTGGCTGGGTGACTCGGTTGGTTGGGTGTCCAACTCTTAATCTCAGCTCAGGTCATGATCTCACGAACCATGGGATCAAGCCCTGCATTGGGCTCTGCACTGACGGCACAGAGCCTGCATGGGATTCTCTCTCTGCCCCTCCAGAGCTCTCTCTCTCTCAAAATAAATAAAGAAACATTGGAAAGAAAAAAAAATCCTTACACAACAGCAGTAAGAAAACATAACTTGCTTCATTGTAAGGCTGATATTATCTCCTGGGTAAGCAAGCTGTTAGCCAGCTCTTACAAACTGGCAGAGTACAGACATGCTAGATTCCTTAAAATTCAAAAGGTTATAGCTCAATTTACCAATGTTTAAACATTAAAATCAAGCTAAATAGTACTGCCATGTAGCTTGAAAACAATGAAATAAGCTAGAAAATATACTATCATAGATTTTCAAATTCTTCCAAAGTGTTCCTTTCTTATTCTGACAACAAAAATTTCCATGGCTTTCAAAATCTGTAGTTTCTAAAACCTTTCATATCTACTATAAATGGAACTAGAAACAGTGGGAAAATAAATTGAGCTTACAGTCTCAGAAAACCTGAGATCTTCTATCCATGAATTTTTAAAGTATCCATGAACATCCCATTGATGCTTTTTAAAATTCCATTAATTCTTTTGTCAATTATTTAACAAATATATTTCACACTATTCATCAGACTATGACAATCATACACAAGCAGAGCCTTTAGCAGTATATTTGTATCTCCTAGGTGTTAAGATATACATTAACCACTATGATTTATTCATACTTACAGTTCTTTCTCAAGCTGCTGTTGAATTAACTTTGCAGATTTTGCCATTGTAATGTCTGTATAGAAATAAAGACACTGTTATAGTTTAGACCAGAAAGGTCTTTTCCCAAAAACTTGCACATATGGAAAATTCCTATTTAAACCAGTAAGTTTCTCCCCCCCATTAAAAAAACAAAAAACAACAGCTTTTTACCATTAGTAGCTCCACGATCAAAGTAAGCTTTGTATTTGCGTGCATGGGTTTTCCTATAATAATGCTTATAAATGTATTAAGTTTGTGACCCTAAAATTGACTAGAAACTAGAAAGTTTTTTCCTACATCTTACAGATCTTTTAAATAAACATATATATAGAAGTCCGGCCAGTGTTACATAAAGAAAACCTATCAGCTTTTTGATTGTAACAAGAGCCTTCACTCTAACAGAAATACCCTACCTATCATATAAAAGTGAACTAAGCACATTTCCAGCTGATACTAAGATGGTATGTTAGTCAACTGCACTTTGGTAAGAGATAAACCCTGGTTTGGTGCACAGCAGAAGCCAAATAAATATTACTGTCTCTCCTAATATTGAAGAGAAAAAATAGAGGTCAGATAATGATCCTAAGACCGATTCCTGATTAGGCATTGATAGGGTTATTACTATCTAACTACTTCTGAGAAATGCAATGGGCTCTTCATAGAATCAGAATTTTAATTTGAAAGAAGACCATAAAATCAACTAGTTTATCTTATTTTAGAGGTAATAAAACTGAAGCCTAGTTTTACTGGGTGTGATGAAAAGTTTTTAATGGCTATGAGGTTAAAGAAAAACAACTTCTGCAAACTCCTCTTGATGAAATGTGCTGGAAGGTAAACTTGTTTGAAAGGAGAGACTCCCCCTTGGCCGTCCACAACTGTGTGTGAGATGACATACTGTCAATCTGACAAAATAACTTGGTAAATAAAGTAAAATGATTTATAATTTAAAAATATGCAAAACACTGTATCAAAGAAAAACTGATCATAGTCCCTCCTTTGTATGGTAAAACTAATGAAAATGCAGGTGTATAAACAATTCTGAGATTTAAAATTCTTCATAGTTCATTACAATCGGCTCTTTCTCAATAATAACAATCATAGAGAACTGTATTAACACTTAGTAGCAATCCCAGAAAAAACTCAATTCTGATTGCGGGAAAACATGACGGCACCTTGCTTATTGCAGGCAATTAAGAACGATGGTGTGTTCTTCAGATTCATACTGTCAATGAGGACTTGATAGAGAAACTCTGCCACATCTTTCACCTCTCGCTGGAAGGTGGCACTATCTACAACAAACACAACAGCCCTGGAGAGGAAGAAAGAAAAAGCAGCATGTGAGCATGTAACAGTGCAGCAGTATACTGAAAAGTTCTATCCTTAATCTCATCTAGCTCAATCCTAATGAATAACACACAACAGACTCACGTGCAGATGTGCACACATGTAATCACATCACACAAATTCTTAACAAAGGATTGCTGAGGAGACATCAAGAGTGTGCATTTTTGGTAACTGTGTACTTCTGGTGACTGTACAGCTTGAAATACTATTTTTCATAGAGTTTTATAAAAATGCAAAAAAAAACAAAAAACAAAAAACAAACGACTACCAAGTATTATTATGTATCAATGACGGATCTAAAAAGGTCAGTGCCTGGATGGGTGCCTGGGTGGCTCAGTCAGCTAAGCATCAGACTCTTGATCTTGGCTCAGGTCACGATCTCACAACTTGTGAGATCAAGCCCCGTGATGGTTTACACACTGACAGCGTGAAGCCTGCTTAGGATTCTCTCTCTGATCTCCGCTGTGTGCTCTCTCAATCCATATATTAATATAATTATTAATTATAATGTCATATATAATTTTATATATATATATAAGAAACATTTATAGCTGAGCTGAATTTTAGCCAGACACAAAATTGAGACACAATCTGGAAAGTAGTGTGTGTGCAGAGCACAAAGGAGTGGAACAGTATGGCCTAGAGAACTCAAGGTAGGAAAGGGGGAGGGAGAAAACCAGGGAAAGACATTGAGCTACAGAGTTTATGCTTTTCTGTTACAAAGAATATTGGTGCTTAATGAAGACATATATCTAAGAGGGTGATCCAACTACAAGCACAGTGACCAGGCAGGACCCAACCTAAGGCAGCAATAGTGAGGATCCTCACGTGCTAGAAATAAAGATGTATCAAAGCTTAAGTGAAACAGTCCAGGAAAAATAGCAGATAACAGACTATAGGGATCAGTGTTTGAATACTTGGGTATAGCTGGAAACGAGCAATGGCAAACATGCAGTTGGAGAGCTGGAACTGAACACCTTGTACAAAGCCTAGAACTTAAAAGCAGTATAGTGGAGGCTGGTGTGGGAAAATAATCCAGGAGGAATTGAAAGATCAGGCCTCCTGTGCTGCACGGATAGCATGGGTATGAATTTACATTCTTTCATGGTGAAGATTATCAAGCAGAAAAGGGGAGATCCCTGAGGGAGGAGCCAAGATGGTGGAACAGGATAGAAGGTTTTTTCTTGCGGGTCTTGTCCCTGAAATGCAGCCAGATCAACACTAAACCATCTTGCACACCTTGAAAACTCATTTGAGGATTAACACAACAGTGTGCACAACCTGAACCACAGAACATGTCAGGTACAGCACGGAGAGGTGAACGGGGGGAGAGAGAAGCTGCAGAGGGCAGGGAGCTGTTTTTGCTTGTGGAGAGAGGATAGAGACAGGAAGAGACTAGGGGAAAGCACCCTGCACCCCTGCAAAAGCGGATGGAGAGAAAAGAGTATGCAAGGGACTTAACAAAAAAGGAAGAAAGGAGAAAGGAGAGGGCTTAAATTCCATTAAGACTCTATGAACAGGAAGAATGCAGAGTTGGAAATGCCACAGCTCCATACCTGGTAGTCCTCTTGGTGGGAAGGGTGAATCCCCAGGAGCAGGGAGTGAGGTCCAAGGGATTCTCAGGCCACACAGGTATAAGTGGCTCCCATAATGGGTGGACATGTGGCCTCCCCACAGGCAAAGGTCCCAGCAGACCCCAGAGAACAACCAACCACATTTGCTGGTGTTGGAACAAGGATGTAAAGGAGGAAGCCTGGTGCCAGATGTGTGTTGTGATCTATCATAATCCTTGAAACTCTGCTGCTACATGACTGTGTGAACTTTTTCTGGGGGAGGCTGGCACCCAGTCACAGTCCCTGGTCATCGGCAGCAGCATGGTCTGGTAAACATTCCCGGGGGTGGGCAGGCACCTGGCCATTGCTCCATAAGACCCTCCCCCAGAGGGTCAGAACCGTCAAAGTTGCAGTCCCTCGGAAGCGAGGGGTTGGGAAACACAGTCCTATCCTAGATAAAACTCTGGAGGGAGGTGCCGCCTGACAGCTTGGTCATGGACAGCATAAAGGCAGAAGCCAGAAACACAGGAGGGGTGCTTGATTGCCCATGGGGAAGAGCACAGAGCTCTGATACTAGAAACTGGGTAGCTGGGTGATGCCATTTTCACCCCTCCTGTGCATGCACATACACGCTTACACATGCCACAGCAATCCACCCCAGTAACCTAAGCCAACACCTAGTGGAGAACGGAGCTATTACACTAAGCCCTGCCCAACTGGGCCAACTGCCCTCTCTTGAGGACCACTGCATGTCTTTATCCGCTTAGTTTACAGACTATAAAGTGCTTCACAGCTTGACTTCTAGGGGAAACCAATATAATTTCAAGCATATTTCCGTGTGTTCACTGTACCACCTATTCAATTTTTTTTCTTATTCTTGAATACAGAAAAAAATTATTTTTATTAAAAAGATTTTTAATTTTTTTCTATTTTACCTTTTACTTTTTTGTAACTTTTTAAAATTCTATTTTACTTCCATCATTTCATCATTTATTCTATTTTATTGTGTCCATTTTTTCAAAATTTCAAATGTTTTCTATTTTTTTGTCTGTTTTTTGCTTCTTTTCTTATCTTGCCTTTTTTCTCTAATTTGCCAAGCTCCTTTAAACAACCAGACCAAAACAGACCTAGGATCTAGCATCCTTTGGTATTTCTGTGTTGTTTTTAATTTTTTACTCTTTCAAATGTTATTAATACATTTTCTTCGTTCAAAATGACAAAAGGAATTCACCCCAAAAGGAAGAAATAACAGCCAGGGATTTAATCAACACAGATAAGAGCAAGAGGTCTGAACCAGAAAATAGAATCATGATAATAAGAATACTAGCTGGGGTTGAAAAAGATTAGAATCCCTTTCTGTGGAGATAAAAGAAGTAAAAGCTAGTCAGGATGAAATAAAAAATGCTATAACTGTGCTGCAATCTCAAATGGATGCCATGGTGGTAAAGAAGGATGAAGGAGAGCAGTGAATCAGCAATACAGAGGACAACTTAGGGAGAACAATGAAGCAGAAAAAAGGAGGAAGACTAAGGCAAAAGAGCATGATTTAAGAATTAGACAACTCAGTGACTTATTAAAAAGGAATTACATCAGAAACATAGGGGTCTCAGAAGATGGAGAGAGAAAAAGGAGTAGGTTTATGTGAGCAAATCATAGCAGTAAACTTTCCTAACCTAGGGAAAGACACAGACATCAAAATCCAGGAAGCACAGAGGACTCCCATTAAACTCAACAAAAACAAACCATCAACAAGGCATATCAGAATCAAATTCACAAAATACTCAGGCACGGAAAGAATCATGAAAGCAGCAACGGGAAAAAAGTCCTTAATCTACAAAGGAAGACACATCAGGTTCGCAGCAGACCTATACACAGAAACATGGCAGGCCAGAAAGGAGTGCCTGAATACATCCAACGTACTGAATTAGAAAAATATGCAGCCAAGAATTCTTTATCCATCAAAGCTGTCATTCAAAAGAGAAGGAGAGGGGCACCTGGGTGGCTCAGTCAGTTAAGCGTCTGACTTCGGCTCAGGTCATGATCTCACGGTTTGTGGGTTCGAGCCCCGCATCGGGCTCTGTGCTGACTGCCAGCTCATAGCCTGGAGCCTATTTCGGATTCTGTGTCTCACTCTTTCTCTGACCCTCCCTGCTCACATTGTCTCTCTCTCTCAGAAATAAATAAAAACATTTAAAAAAAAAATTCAAAATAGAAGGAGAGATAAAAGTTTCCCAAACAAAAATGAAAAGAGTTCATGACCACTAAAGCAGCCCTGCAAGAAATTTTAAGGGAACTCTCTAAAGGGAGAAAAGACGGGGTGGGGGGGAAGACCAAAAGCAACAAAGACTAGAAATGACCAGAAAACACACCAGAAACTCCATCTCTACAGGCAACAAAATGGCAACGAATTCATATCTTTCAGTACTCACTCTAAATGTCAATGGTCTAAATGTTCCAAACACATAGGGTAACAAAATGGATAAGAAAACAAGATCCATATATATGCTGTTTGCAAGAGACCCATTTTAGACTTAAAGACACCTTCAGATTGAAAGTAAGGGGATGGACAACCATCTATCATGCTAATGGTACCAAAAGAAAGGCAGAGTAGCCATACTTATATCAGACAATCTAGACTTTAAAATAAAGTCTGTAACAAGAGATGAAGAAGGGCATTATATCATAATTAAGGGGTCTATTCACCAAGAAGACCTAACAATTGTAAACATTTATGTTCCAAACATGAGGGCACCCAAATATATAAATCAATTATCACAAACATAAAGAAACTCATTGATAATAATACCATAATAGTAGGGGACTTCTACACCCCACTTATAGCAATGGATAGATCATCTACACAGAAAATCAACAAGGAAACAATAGCTTTGAATGACACACTGAACCAGATGGACTTAACAGATATATTCAGAACAGTTCATCCTAAAGCAGGGAATATACATTTTTCTCCAGTGCACATGGAATGTTCTCCAGAATAGATCATACTGGGACACAAATCATCCCTCAACAAGTACAAAAAGATTGAGATCATACTGTGTATATTTTCAGACCACAACATTATGAAACTTGAAATCAACCACAAGAAAAAATGTGGAAAGGTAACAAATACTTGGAGACTAAAGGACATCCTACTAAAGAATGAATGGGCTAACCAAGAAGTTAAAGAGGAAATTAAAAAGTACATGGAAGCCAATGAAAATGATAACACCGCAGCCCAAAACCTCTGGGACACAGCAAAGGCGGTCATAAGACGGACAGACGTATATAGCAATCCAGGCCTTTCTAAAGGAAGAAAGTCTCAGATACACAACCTAAACTTACACTTCAAAGAGCTGTAAAAAGAACAGCAAATAAAACTCCAAGCCAGCAGAAGACAGGAAATAATAAAGAT